CTGTGGAGAAGCTACCAAGTTAGGGTAGGCTTAGTTAACGTAACTCAATGGGGATGTAATTAGTGGTCCGTTTGACCTTAATTGAGAATTACTCACTGAATACTTGCAAGGAGTCAAGTGTGTTGTAATATGTTGAGTTATTGTTAACAAGAGAGAGACAAGTGTTAAAGATTAACGTAGAGTATCATCATGTTGTTGTCTAGTGGGAGACAATTGTTTGTGATTACCGTGGTACTTTGTTGCTGACTGCTGCGATCAGTCAATTAACGTAATTAATCACTTCAGGCAATTTCTTTTGGTTGTCGTCTGGTGACGAGAGTAGAGTCATACTAGGGATCTGTGGAGCTGTGTCCCAGAATTCCCGCCTTGCCTGTCGGTGTATCGGGTTACAACAGGGCAACTTCTTAGTGGGAGTTGCAAAGAGTGTTCACACGGGGTTGTGATAGGGGGGAGTCACTGTTAGACTTCCACCTAGTTACGTGGGTCTCTCCTGGGGGGCGGGAGGACTCCTAAGCTTGTGATTATAGTAGCTGTCAGGGAAACCGTGACACTATTGATTGCCTGCTTGTGTCTTTGTTTCAGTGGATCCTTCATTTGTTCAGTTAGTTCATGTTATCAGCCCGAAGTGTCAGCAAGATGGAGCCTGCTGTCACTTCTCGAGGGGCTGTTGAATAGCTGTGTTGCAAATGCCACTTGATGTACAATAACGTAACCATTCGCTGTGGTGTAACTTAGTCTGTGATATTTTTCTTTGATTTGCAATATTGCGTCATCAGTGGGCACACCTGTGTTCAGGTTAGTTCAGTATGCAGCCTCACAGCAAGGGTTGCTATTTAGCTGTTTGTTATCGTGCCACTGGATTGACATTAACGTAACGTAAACTCGGTAATGTAGTAGTTAGTCTCTTGTTATTAATAAATTGTTATGTTATAGAAAACAGTCTTTGATGTCAACCCTTCAACCATATTATTCCACTATATTTCTGCATAATATCATTAAATGTTGATGTGATCTTGATAAGGCGGCTGTTCTTGGGAATTCGAATTCCAATTCATAGCGCCACTTCAAATATAAATATTTGATTGTGAGAACCCGTCGGTTACCCTTTATTAGTTTTAACGTCCTGTTTAACTAGAAGGAGCCAGCGGCCAATTGTGGACAGGTTTTCACCCTTGTTGGTGGAGGCCTGGCGGTTTGCTCCCGCTTTTCCTTTTTCTACTGGACTCATGCTTAACTGCCGTGAGCAGACTTTAAACTTGTAGTCCACCTCTTAAGGGAGGTAGGCGTAGAGAAAAATCTCACAAAGGTGAGGCATGATCCTTGAGGATCATGCCTCACCTTCCTCTCACATTCTCACCTCACCTTCCTTGCCTCAGCTTGTTATTTTTGCCTATATATAGTGTTGTGTGTTATACATTGAATAACGAACAGCTTTCGTTTATGCAAGTGATGACAAAAATGATGTAGACCTACATATAGTTATCAATAAGTCGTATCAAATAATGCATCCAAACGCATTTAAGCTGGTGGTTGAGGCGCCAAAAAACTGTGAATGAAAACATTGGAAGGAATCTCACCAGGGATACTCGTCTGTTATTTTGTAATGTGTTCAAATGTGTGAAGACTGACTGGTGAGGCAGCCAGCCGGTGGTGGGCGGGTCGAGGCGGCCAGAGGTGGTCGTCAGGTGGCCGGCCAAGCTACTGAAGGCGGCCGGAGAGAGAGAGTGAGAGTTGCCTGTGAGAGACTCCGCTTGCTGTGGGAAACAATGCTGTGAACCACCATTGGTTCAGTCGTGGGGGAGGGGAAGGGGGACGTCCCACGCCTCTGCAGACTTGAGAACACCACAACGGACTGGCCAACAGGAGCCCTGAGCCGAAACGGCGACAGTACCACAACGGACGTCTGGCCAACAGGAGCCCTGGGCACATACGGCGACAGTACCACAACGGACGTCTGGCCAACAGGAGCCCTGGGCACATACGGCGACAGTACCACAACGGACGTCTGGCCAACAGGAGCCCTGGGCACATACGGCGACAGTACCACAACGGACATCTGGCCAACAGGAGCCCTGGGCACATACGGCGACAGTACCACAACGGACGACTGGCCAACAGGAGCCCTGGGAAAAAGAAGCTAGCAGCAGCATGCTCTACGCTCTGTCAACGTCCCGGGTCACAGAGCCTAGAGCAGCCAACAGTTGGGAGCCAGAGTGGCGTCAGGACACGCGACAATAACACAGGAGATTCAGCTGACCAGGGGGTAAAAGGGGACAATAGCAAAATTTAGAGAGGATCAAATCTGCTTGTCTTAGTTGGCAAGATATATGGGGTGGATAAGAGCGAGGGTGAGCAGGAGATCAGGGCGCCCCTGGGGGCCACCAGGGACCTCGCCTGCACCTGGGATTCATCAAAGCAGGAAGAGGGTTCCAAGTCCCATTCGTCACACTTAGCAAAGTTATGGAGGAAGTTCAGATGAAAGTGTTGGTCACCTATACATACAACTGATACACGTCCGCCAGAATTTATTTACCCTTTTTTTCCAATCCATTGAGATCAGCTGAGCTATGCGACAGATGGAGGACATCAGGAGGTTTTGTATGTTGTTGTATGAGGAGACACAAGTATGATAGCTAGTATACCATGCATGATATGCGCTGAGGTATTCTGAACACCACCACCCCCGGCCCATATATTGAGGCCTCAGCTACTGAGGATGTCCACTGCGGTGACAAATGCTTCCTCCGGGGCCACATAAATCTGTTTGTTGTCACAAGTGAGAAGAATAATGGCCACAGTGGCCCCTGGGGACAACGATTGGCCCACTTTCCCAGCTAAGAAAAAATCATCACGGTCCTCATCTGGGTCGATCACCACCACCTCCTCCACGAGGCCACAGACTGGCCACCACCTCCACGAGGCCACAGGCTGGCCACCACCTCCACGAGGCCACAGACTGGCCACCACCTCCACGAGGCCACAGACTGGCCACCTCCTCCACGAGGCCACAGACTGGCCACCACCTCCACGAGGCCACAGGCTGGCCACCACCTCCACGAGGCCACAGACTGGCCACCACCTCCACGAGGCCACAGGCTGGCCGCCTCCTCCACGAGGCCACAGGCTGGCCACCTCCTCCACGAGGCCACAGACTGGCCACCACCTCCACGAGGCCACAGGCTGACCACCACCTCCACGAGGCCACAGACTGGCCACCACCTCCACGAGGCCACAGGCTGGCCACCTCCTCCACGAGGCCACAGGCTGGCCACCTCCTCCACGAGGCCACAGGCTGGCCACCTCCTCTACGAGGCCACAGGCTGGCCACCTCCTCCACGAGGCCACAGGCTGGCCACCTCCTCCACGAGGCCACAGGCTGGCCACCTCCTCAACGAGGCCACAGGCTGGCCACCTTACACAGCAAGGATTGTCAATAACCGACATACCAACTCCAGGTGATGGAGTAGGTGTTCGTGCTGGAGCGGCCAAACATGAGTCCAGGGTTCGATTCTCGTTCAAGAGAGAGCGTTGGACTGTAGCTTGGTTGCCAAGTATTGATAGGGTTATTGGCTTGTTTGGCCACTCCCTTGCGATGCCCCGGGTCCCTGTTCGAACCCCTGATGGTTTAAGTGTTTGGGCAAGTTGCTGCTTTACTCCATCCTCACGTCCCAGCTCCTTGTCCTCACGTCCCAGCTGCTTGTCCTCATGTCCCAGCTCCTTGTCCTCACGTCCCAGCTGCTTGTCCTCATGTCCCAGCTCCTTGTCCTCACGTCCCAGCTCCTTGTCCTCACGTCCCAGCTGCTTGTCCTCATGTCCCGGCTCCTTGTCCTCACGTCCCAGCTACTTGTCCTCACGTCCCAGCTGCTTGTCCTCACGTCCCAGCTCCTTGTCCTCACGTCCCAGCTCCTTGTCCTCACGACCCAGCTGCTTGTCCTCATGTCCCGGCTCCTTGTCCTCACGTCCCAGCTGCTTGTCCTCACGTCCCAGCTCCTTGTCCTCACGTCCCGGCTTCTTGTCCTCACGTCCCAGCTGCTTGTCCTCACGTCCCAGCTCCTTGTCCTCACGTCCCAGCTCCTTGTCCTCATGTCCCAGCTCCTTGTCCTCACGTCCCAGCTCCTTGTCCTCACGTCCCAGCTGCTTGTCCTCACGTCCCAGCTCCTTGTCCTCACGTCCCAGCTCCTTGTCCTCACGTCCCAGCTCCTTGTCCTCACGTCCCAGCTCCTTGTCCTCACGTCCCAGCTCCTTGTCCTCATGTCCCAGCTCCTTGTCCTCACGTCCCAGCTCCTTGTCCTCCACACCTGCAGCCAACCCCACCACTGTTTGCCCCTTTTATTCTCTATATTTACACAAGCCTCCGTGACGTGCTCTCTCCTGGTCCCTGATGCCTCTCCTCACCCTGGACGCCCCTCACCTTCCCTCACCCTGGACGCCCCCCACCTCCCCTCACCCTGGATGCCCCTCACCTTCCCTCACCCTGGACGCCCCTCACTTTGGACGCCCCCTCACCCTAGAACCCTCCATCACGCTAGACCCCCTCACCCTAGACCCCCTTCACCCTAGACCCCCTCACCTTCCCTCACCTTAGAACCCCTCACTCTAGACCCCCTCACCCTAGACCCCCTTCACCCTAGACCCCCTCACCTTCCCTCACCTTAGAACCCCCCTCACTCTAGACCCCCTCACCCTAGACCCCCTCACCTTCCCTCACCTTAGAACCCCCCTCACTCTAGACCCCCTCACCCTAGACCCCCTTCACCCTAGACCCCCTCACCTTCCCTCACCTTAGAACCCCCCCTCACTCTAGACCCCCTCACCCTAGACCCCCTTCACCCTAGACCCCCCCATCACCTTCCCTCCCATTAGGACTTGTGGCATCAGAAAATATTGAAAAGCTTTCACTATTTCAACTTTTTCGTTTTTTTTTAAGAATTTTTTTAATTTACAATATTCACGCACTACCAAAACTTTTTGTATTGACAAGCTTTTTTTATATATACCAGAGTCGATCCATCACCTGAGCCAGGATTATCCATCACGGCACCAGAGTGGCTCCATCACCCTCAACCCTCACCATCCACGTCACCAGAGTGGCTCCATCACCCTCACCATCCACGTCACCAGAGTGGCTCCATCACCCTCACCATCCACGTCACCAGAGTGGCTCCATCACCCTCACCATCCACGTCACCAGAGTGGCTCCATCACCCTCAACCATCACCATCCACGGCACCAGAGTGGCTCTATCACCCTCACCATCCACGTCACCAGAGTGGCTCCATCACCCTCAACCCTCACCATCCACGTCACCAGAGTGGCTCCATCACCCTCAACCCTCACCATCCACGGCACCAGAGTGGGTCCATCACCCCCAACACTCACCATCCACGGCACCAGAGTGGGTCCATCACCCCCAACACTCACCATCCACGGCACCAGAGTGGGTCCATCACCCCCAACACTCACCATCCACCTCACCAGAGTGGCTGTATCACCCTCACCATCCACGTCACCAGAGTGGCTCCATCACCCTCAACCCTCACCATCCACGGCACCAGAGTGGCTCTATCACCCTCAACCATCACCATCCACGGCACCAGAGTGGCTCCATCACCCTCAACACTCACCATCCACGTCACCAGAGTGGGACCATCACCCTCAACACTCACCATCCACGGCACCAGAGTGGCTCCATCACCCTCAACACTCACCATCCACGGCACCAGAGTGGGTCCATCACCCCCAACACTCACCATCCACCTCACCAGAGTGGCTCTATCACCCTCACCATCCACGTCACCAGAGTGGGACCATCACCCTCAACACTCACCATCCACGTCACCAGAGTGGGACCATCACCCTCAACACTCACCATCCACGTCACCAGAGTGGGACCATCACCCTCAACACTCACCATCCACGTCACCAGAGTGACTCCATCACCCTCAACACTCACCATCCACGTCACCAGAGTGGGACCATCACCCCCAACACTCACCATCCACGTCACCAGAGTGGGACCATCACCCTCAACACTCACCATCCACGGCACCAGAGTGGCTCCATCACCCTCAACACTCACCATCCACGTCACCAGAGTGGGACCATCACCCTCAACACTCACCATCCACGGCACCAGAGTGGCTCCATCACCCTCAACACTCACCATCCACGTCACCAGAGTGGGACCATCACCCCCAACACTCACCATCCACGGCACCAGAGTGGCTCCATCACCCTCAACACTCACCATCCACGTCACCAGAGTGGGACCATCACCCTCAACACTCACCATCCACGTCACCAGAGTGGGACCATCACCCTCAACACTCACCATCCACGTCACCAGAGTGGGACCATCACCCTCAACACTCACCATCCACGTCACCAGAGTGGGACCATCACCCCCAACACTCACCATCCACGTCACCAGAGTGGGACCATCACCCTCAACACTCACCATCCACGGCACCAGAGTGGGACCATCACCCTCAACACTCACCATCCACGGCACCAGAGTGGGACCATCACCCTCAACACTCACCATCCACGGCACCAGAGTGGCTCCATCACCCTCAACACTCACCATCCACGTCACCAGAGTGGGACCATCACCCTCAACACTCACCATCCACGTCACCAGAGTGGGACCATCACCCTCAACACTCACCATCCACGTCACCAGAGTGGGACCATCACCCCCAACACTCACCATCCACGTCACCAGAGTGGGACCATCACCCCAACACTCACCATCCACGTCACCAGAGTGGGACCATCACCCTCAACACTCACCATCCACGGCACCAGAGTGGGACCATCACCCTCAACACTCACCATCCACGGCACCAGAGTGGCTCCATCACCCTCAACACTCACCATCCACGTCACCAGAGTGGGACCATCACCCTCAACACTCACCATCCACGTCACCAGAGTGGGACCATCACCCCAACACTCACCATCCACGTCACCAGAGTGGGACCATCACCCCCAACACTCACCATCCACGTCACCAGAGTGGGACCATCACCCCCAACACTCACCATCCACGTCACCAGAGTGGGACCATCACCCCAACACTCACCATCCACGTCACCAGAGTGGGACCATCACCCCCAACACTCACCATCCACGTCACCAGAGTGGCTCCATCACCCCCAACACTCACCATCCACGTCACCAGAGTGGGACCATCACCCCCAACACTCACCATCCACGTCACCAGAGTGGGACCATCACCCTCAACACTCACCATCCACCTCACCAGAGTGGGACCATCACCCCCAACACTCACCATCCACGTCACCAGAGTGGGACCATCACCCTCAACCCTCACCATCCACCTCACCAGAGTGGGACCATCACCCCCAACACTCACCATCCACGTCACCAGAGTGGGACCATCACCCTCAACCCTCACCATCCACCTCACCAGAGTGGGACCATCACCCCCAACACTCACCATCCACCTCACCAGAGTGGGACCATCACCCTCAACACTCACCATCCACGTCACCAGAGTGGGACCATCACCCCTCAACACTCACCATCCACCTCACCAGAGTGGGACCATCACCCCTCAACACTCACCATCCACCTCACCAGAGTGGGACCATCACCCTCAACCCTCACCATCCACGTCACCAGAGTGGCTCCATCACCCCCAACCCTCACCATCCACCTCACCAGAGTGGCTCCATCAACCACAAACAGCTCCACATTCCACCAAAGATTACGTCCTGTGATCATGACCATTTAAAGCTGTTTATTAACTGTGTTCACCAATAAGCCAGACCCCCTCGCCCGTGTGTGCTCCTCACTCCACTCATCTCTAATGGAATGACAAGGAATAATTGCTGGCGACACATCCTGATATCCAGTCTAAGTTTCGGCAGGAGCACCAGCCGACGGCCACCACCCCCTTAGCGACACGCTCTCATCAAACCTGTGCTGAAAACTTGAGGAGGAACGCAAGTTTGGCCTCCAACTTCCGCACAATCTCATTTTTCAACTGGTTTCCTTGACAATACGAAGATCGGAGCTGATATCTGTCACTGTGGACCGAGTGGTCGGTACCAAAGGGTTCTTAAACTGGGGTATACGTACCATCCCCTGGGGGGCAACTTTTAGTGTATTTGTGAATGATGGATCGAGCCGTTAGCGCTTGGGCCCCGCCTTTCTAGTCGGAACTCCGCCTATTTTTCTCTTTAATATCTACTATATGTGTGTGTGTGTGTGTTGCAATGTTGCTGACTAGAGCAAACTTGCAACACCCTCACCGACCTGTCATCCGGAAATTATTGTAGCTATTACCGGGGATGAAACCTGGAGTCTGGCAGCTGTTTCTGGCTGTATCCTGACGGTGTGTGTGTGTGTGTGTGTGTGTGTGTGTGTGTGTGTGTGTGTGTGTGTGTGTGTGTGTGTGTGTGTGTGTGTGTGTGTGTGTGTGTGTGTGTGTGTGTGTGTGTGTGTGTGTGTGTGTGTGTGTGTGTGTGTGTGTGTGTGTGTGTGTGTGTGTGTGTACTCACCTAATATTGCTTGCGGGGGTTGAGCTTTGGCTCTTTGGTCCCGCCTCTCAACTGTCAATCTACTGATGTACAGGTTCCTGAGCTTCTCAAGCTCCATCATATCTACATTTGAATCTGTGTATGGAGTCAGCCTCCACTACGTCACTTCCTAGTACCTGGAGTACCTAGACCAATCCTGGAGTATGCGACCCCAGCATGGAGCCCGTACCTTGTCAAGCACAAGACGAAGCTGGAAAAAGTCCAAAGGTATGCTACTAGACTAGTCCCAGAACTAAGAGGCATGAGTTATGAGGAAAGGCTGCGGGAAATGCACCTTACGACACTGGAAGACAGAAGAGTAAAGGGGGACATGATCACAACCTACAAAATCCTCAGGGGAATCGACCGGGTAAACAAGGATGAACTCTTCAACACTGGAGGGACGCGAACAAGGGGACACAGGTGGAAACTGAGTACCCAAATGAGCCACAGAGACATTAGAAAGAACTTTTTCAGTGTCAGAGTAGTTAGTAAATGGAATGCATTAGGAAGTGATGTGGTGGAGGCTGACTCCATTCACAGTTTCAAGTGTAGATATGACAGAGCCCGATAGGCTCAGGAATCTGTACACCTGTTGATTGACGGTTGAGAGGCGGGACCAAAGAGCCAGAGCTCAACCCCCGCAAACACAACTAGGTGAGTACACACACACACACCACTCATCATGTCAACAAGTTCTCTAAACGTGTTAGTGGTCGAGGGCTTGATAAGGGTCGGGGAGGAGCCTGGCCACCTTTACATCACATGTTTGAGGGTCATTATATCATTCAGGAAACGTGTAGAGAAGAGCCGAGTTGATTACGTAAATATTCGCACGTTATAAAGTAAGACCAAACTAAAGCTGTAGCAGTTGTGCACTCTCTCCCTCGTCCGTCACCACTCTTAAGAGCGGCCAAGCAGCAGGATCACCTGACCCCAGAAGTATACCACTTGGTTTCGGTGAATATACGCTCGGAGTATACTCTAGTCCTGGAATAAATTATATTTCTTGGTAGGTCAGTTAACCCTTGCAGAAGTTGATCACCTTTGCAGAGGTTGATGGTGCCTGCACCAAGCCAGAGGTCAATAACCTCGTGCAGGGCAATGGTCACTACTCTGTGTGGGTATTCAGCACTTGTAAAAGTGCTGTAACCAAGGCTGTGTGTGTGCCTGTAAGCTGCTTGTATGACTAGCTTGTTGAATGTGTCCAGAACCACTCATTTGTATTTCGTTACTAACCATGCCATTTTTAATGTGTTAACTTCTACTGAGAGGACACAGCAAGCCTCCTCTAATACCCGTCCTTACTGTAACGAGGACCTGCAAAGAGCACACTCAGTGTTAAACAGAGCACTAAGAAGAGGTGTAAGACGTCGTTCCCGCCTTCACCAATCACTCAATATACCAGCAGTTAAGGTCAGGTACTGTCGTCGAGGGTGGAGGGCTGCGGACCACCAGGAAAGTGTTGGTAAAACTGCGTTGGAAGGATTTGACCAGAGACGTCCCACAGCTGGTGGCCCAGGAGCTTAAACCTGCTCTCGGCCGCCCCCCCCCTCCCCCTATCTTTTCCAGCTAATCTCCCATATTGGCACCCCCATCCCCAGCATATGAATCTCTCACCCTCCATCTCCCCCGGCCAATCTCCCTGCCCTCATCCATCTCCCTTCCTCTCCCCCAGCAATAGCGTCCGGGGGGGGGGCAGAACGCCTTTAAGGCGCGACCGTGAAGTGCCACAAGGAACGTCAACCACCTTGTTGGCACCTTTTTTCTATTGGCACCACCATGTTGGGCACTCTTGCCCCCCCCCCCTGGGGCCGGTGACGCGGACCGCCTCTGACTGCCATCCTTGATCGCACACAACTCCCCAAGACATAACAATATACTGCTTGTGACTGAAGGCAGACACAGATATACTGCTTGTGACTGAAGGCAGACACAGATATACTGCTTGTGGCTGAAGGCAGACACAGGTATACTGCTTGTGACTGAAGGCAGACACAGGTATACTGCTTGTGACTGAAGGCAGACACAGGTATACTGCTTGTGACTGAAGGCAGACACAGGTATACTGCTTGTGGCTGAAGGCAGACACAGGTATACTGCTTGTGACTGAAGGCAGACACAGATATACTGCTTGTGGCTGAAGGCAGACACAGGTATACTGCTTGTGGCTGAAGGCAGACACAGGTATACTGCTTGTGACTGAAGGCAGACACAGATATACTGCTTGTGGCTGAAGGCAGACACAGATATACTGCTTGTAGCTGAAGGCAGACACAGATATATTGCTTGTAACTGACGGCAGACACAGATATACTGCTTGTGACTGAAGGCAGACACAGATATACTGCTTGTGACTGACGGCAGACACAGATATAATCATCGGTAATCGGGGTTAGAGTCGGTCTCCTGTGGATCACCAAGCCATACTGACCTCCGAAAGCACGAAACGACTGCTGAGTTAGCCAATCCGTCTCCTCACTCACAGGCCGAGGAGATTACCATCTTGGATCGCCATTGAGCACCCCGAGGGCAGTCATGTCCCGAATATTGCAAGGAAATTGTGTAGACTTGAGGCAAAGAAAAATTCTCACATTTTATTCCATCTGTCATAATATTGTTATGAAGGAAGGGTCACACATCTATGGGTCATCCACCAGGGGAGGCAGACTTCTGAAGGAAGGGTCACACATCTATGGGTCATCCACCAGGGGAGGCAGACTTCTGAAGGAAGGGTCACACATCTATGGGTCATCCACCAGGGGAGGCAGACTTCTGAAGGAAGGGTCACACATCTATGGGTCATCCACCAGGGGAGGCAGACTTCTGAAGGAAGGGTCACACATCTATGGGTCATCCACCAGGGGAGGCAGACTTCTGAAGGAAGGGTCACACATCTATGGGTCATCCACCAGGGGAGGCAGACTTCTGAAGGAAGGGTCACACATCTATGGGTCATCCACCACGGGAGGCAGACTTCTGAAGGAAGGGTCACACATCTATGGGTCATCCACCAAAGGAGGCAGACTTCTGGATGTTACCACTGCTAGAATGAAGGCAGTCTAGCTTGGCTATTCTCTGGGAGTTTACAGCGAGTTTACTAAAGCTCTGGGAAATTAGAGGACATGTTGAAGCAGATCTCACTGCGTGTAATCTCTCTCAGCAGAACTGTTCATGCACTTTACCTCACTATACAATTTAATGTGAAAGAATTTCAGAATTCAGAGATAATTTAATTGCAAATGTCCAAAGTTTACTGTGTGGAGGTCCAGCATGCTGGTGACTGTAAACTTTCCCACGCTGCCCAATGGATGTGTCAGGGGATCATGGTGAGTTTACACGAATGATGCAGTGTGTAAACTGCTCAGCTCAGAGACTGTTGTGGTTCACTTTTCCAACCACTTGTACTATATAAAACACAGTATTGGTATATATACGTCTAACTCTCTACCTAGCTCATCAGACTGGCACTTGCCTTGCCTAATGAATTATGGGGTTCAGTTGCTGAGTCCCATTATGTGCCTCTGTAACCTGTTCCACTACCGCACACGAAATGGGTATGGGGTCCACTAACTACCCACAGGATGGGTATGGGGTCCACTAACTACCTACAGGATGGGTATGGGGTCCATTAACTACTCACAGGATGGGTATGGGGTCCACTAACTACCTACAGGATGGGTATGGGGTCCATTAACTACCTACAGGATGGGTATGGGGTCCATTAACTACCTACAGGATGGGTATGGGGTCCATTAACTACTCACAGGATGGGTATGGGGTCCACTAACTACCTACAGGATGGGTATGGGGTCCATTAACTACTCACAGGATGGGTATGGGGTCCATTAACTACCCACAGGATGGGTATGGGGTCCACTAACTGCCCACAGGATGGCTTTGGGGTCCACTAACTACCCACAGGATGGGTATGGGGTCCACTAACTACCCACAGGATGGGTATGGGGTCCACTAACTACCTACAGGATGGGTATGGGGTCCATTAACTACTCACAGGATGGGTATGGGGTCCACTAACTACCTACAGGATGGGTATGGGGTCCATTAACTACCTACAGGATGGGTATGGGGTCCATTAACTACCTACAGGATGGGTATGGGGTCCATTAACTACTCACAGGATGGGTATGGGGTCCATTAACTACTCACAGGATGGGTATGGGGTTCACTAACTGCCCACAGGATGGCTTTGGGGTCCACTAACTACCCACAGGATGGGTATGGGGTCCAACTAACTACCACAGGATGGGTATGGGGTCCACTAACTACCCACAGGATGAGTATGGGGTCCACTAACTACCCACAGGATGGGTATGGGGTCCATTAACTACTCACAGGATGGGTATGGGGTCCATTAACTACTCACAGGATGGGTATGGGGTTCACTAACTGCCCACAGGATGGCTTTGGGGTCCACTAACTACCCACAGGATGGGTATGGGGTCCACTAACTACCCACAGGATGGGTATGGGGTCCACTAACTACCCACAGGATGAGTATGGGGTCCACTAACTACCCACAGGATGGGTATGGGGTCCACTAACTACCCACAGGATGAGTATGGGGTCCACTAACTACCCACAGGATGGGTATGGGGTCCACTAACTACCCACAGGATGGGTATGGGGTCCACTAACTACCCACAGGATGGGTATGGGGATCTATTGCCATTCACATTATGGGTATGGATCTACACCTTATCCTTTCTCAACCCAACCATTGCCAACCCAACCTAACCTTACCCCAACTTTACCCTACCTAACCTTACCTAAACTTTCCCAAACCAGCCCAGTACCACCCAACCCTTACCCAAGAGAAGATAACATACTATAATGAACTCTGATAGTCTAGTAGGCCACATCCTGTCTAGGATGAAAGTTCCACCCAGGTATGTTGAGAAGAGTCTGTAAGAGAAGAGGCTTGGTTGGAGGCCTTTTGTTGGTCAGGACAACAGGTGGAGAGGGGAAAATGGCGACGACGACGGACTTGTCCAAGGAGGAAGGAGTTGACTGAGGTCATCATTGACCACCAATGAGGAGACAGCAAGGCTGTGACGCGTCACGAGCAGAGGCTCTGCCATTGGTGAAGACGTCACTTGTGAGTGCATGCTCGAAGAGGTTACACGCTATTCGTCGCGTTGGGAGTTTTGAGGTACAGCTCTACGCTGCTTGGTGAAGGAAGTGAACGGTGCCAGAGGCGAGGAGTTGAGTCAGAAGAGGGCGGTGTCAGCCTCGACCAGTGGACCCGGGAGCGACATTTTAAAACCAGAAGGGTGCGTGGACCTGGTGTCCACCGCGGGACACCTACAAGAGATTGTGTTTGGCAAGTCAGGAAGAGACAGTGGCAGTCGAGAGAGGATTTGTGAGCGACCTGGAGGAAGGTAGACCCCCCCCAGACGCCATCTTGGTTTCTGGAGACGAGCGCCTCGCTTCATGATTGAGCGGTAAGTGCTTATTGTCCGCCAGGTGCGGTGAGGAGAAGTGCTCACTGATTTATAGTGATGCTCAGTCATCTTAATTAATCATGTATGTTATGAATAAGAAGTAATATTGGAAGACTGAGTGGCAAGGTAACAGAGGTGGTGGCGGGAGCGACACGTCTACTCTCCAGGACGGCCAGTGAGTGACTAAAGGGGAGACCAGAGTGGCGTCGTCCGCTGCGGGGGAGTCCACGTGGCTGTACGGGGGATTACCAGATACCACCAACAGTGGTGTGTGGAAAGTCTTGTGAAATAATTGTTTAAAAAATATTTAAATTGTTTGTGGAGGAGGACTATTTTGTTACATGTAAAATTACAGTTTCGTGTGTACGTTGAGATGCTAGTTCCCAGGATAACCTGTCAGAGGAAGTGTTGCTGGCCTATGAGGATAATCTGCCTGAGGGACATCCGCCTTTGAGTAAAGGAGGATTGATCCATAGTTGTGATCCACCAGTTTCCCATTTGTATTTGCTTGTTGGAGCTGCTTGCTGGAGCTGTAATTAATATGTGTCACGTAGTGAAAGGCGGCCACGGTGTTTATATGTTCTTCACTGACATGTATTTTGATATTGATGGTGATTACAAGATTTAATCCACCCTAGAAGAGAAGCCTAGTGTTTAAGGCATAATTTGTCACGAGGAGAAACTAAGGAGGAACAGCAGTTACTGAGGCAGTGATTATTAATGTTGAC